TTGTATATCGTAGGGAGTGTGGAGAGGTTAGTGGGGTATGGAGCAACACCCTGGGCACTGACTTGGAGGGGGCCAAAAAGAAGTGGCTGCAATTGCACAGCAACCAGAAGTCACTGCTGACCCTATGCCCCAGATGCCCAGGTGTGTCCCTAGGCGAGTGGCTGGGAAGGCACAACTCCCAGCTGCAGGTAAAGTGACAAACTGTACTCCTCCCAAAGGAAGGTATTTATATGGAAATCTGGAAGCTGAAATTCTGGGATGCTCATCTTCTATTCAAATTCTTTCCATTTATAAAATAATGGGGCCATAAGTTCAAAGCTTAAGATTGTGCCCTGTCTTCAGTGACTTCTAGGCAACTCCAATGAAGGTCAAGGGTTAAATTTAAGGTGCAGACAGAAGTAATTTTTGAAATGCTTCCAAGTGTAATGGTCTTGGGAACACTGCAAAAGGGTAGAGCTTCAGCCAAGTGGCATAAATGCAGCCCTTGTCATGCCCCTGGCTGGAGTACTTCAAAATCATGATAGTCACATGCAGCTGTTTGCTTTCTAGCCAGGGGTTACCACAAAAGGCTGCAGGAATGGAGCGATATGGGGACTGGAGAAAAGACAGCCAGGATGCCAGCTGCAGTGGTAGTGGGGAGCATGCAGGAATCTGGCAGTTGGGGCAAGGAGAGGTTGGCGTTAGGCTAGTGTTGGGGGCACAGGCATCTAGTGGGGGTTTGGGAGTGTCACAGGGTACTAAAGTGCCTGCTCCTTTAAGATCAGAAACTGCCTAGGAAGAGGGCCCTAGGAGCCAGACAGAAACCCCATAGCTGCAGGTTACTATGGCGGCAGGCTAACAAAGGAATTAGCCTGCACCTGCACCTGGTCAGCTAATCAGAAGAAGGCAGGGCCCATGGCACATATAAACCCCAGGGCTGAGGCCAGTAGGGCTTTCTTCTCTGGCAACAGCCAGAGAAAAACTGCCCAGAGATACTGTAGCCACCTGATCTGCTGCATGTTGCACTAATAGGACTCTAGGAGCTCACCAGGTACCCTAAGCTACAAGGTACTTATTGCCTGGGGAGAAGTTTGACTCTCTTAAAGGGACAGAATGCACCCTGAACTTGTGGTATTATGTTATAGCACAAGGGCTCATATTTTGGTTGCTATTTATAAGCTGGTGGACTGGGCTGAGGCTTTTGGGGAGGAGGAGGCCTCATTGGGGCCACACTACAGTATGGAGGTGCCAGTGCCAGTGTGGGCACAGAGACAGGGCTGTGGTGAGTGCAGGGATGGAGGAGAGGCTGAGATATAGCAAGGCCTCAGAGGGACAACATTTAAATACCATCTGTGAGGCTTGGGGTGTGGTAAAGGGGTGATATTTGGAGTCATGTGTCTAGCCCATAAGGCTGAGGGTGTCCCATGAGGCATCCATTTTGAGTGGAACCCAAAAAGGGGTCCAAGTAGCCACATGGTTCAGTGGGGTCCATCAGGACTGTGTCCAAACATGAACTTGAGGCCAGCTTCCCTATTTTAATTTCCAGCAAGATGTGACAAGTGAGGAAAAGGGTGCCTGCTAGGGATGACTAGCATGGTCACAGAGCTCTAGGGGCATCAGCCATCCCTGGGGACCCCATGCTGTGACTGGGAACCATGGGGGTTTGTGGTTGTAGGGGTGCTCCATTGCTGGGATACCTGGCTCTCCAACCCCCACTCTCCCCCTCTCCCAGAGCCAGAGAGAGAGAAGGGCCTGGAGACTCCAGCTTCAGCAGCAGTGCAGGCCTCATGGCGTGGCAGGACCAAAGTGTATATGGCTGCAGACAAGTGGTATCAGAAGCTCCAACAGTGAGAAGACCTGACAGCTAGGCAGCTGATAAGCCTTCATTCAGCCTACCCTAACTGTCCCTGCCACTCTCCTTCCCTCCCACATGGAGGAGATGCAATAGCAGAGCACTGTGGGAGGATTTATGAGTTCCCTGTCCCCATGCACAAGTAGCAAAAAGTGAAATGCAAAACAGTGTCTCACTTCAAGAGTTACTCTCTTGGAGTAATCCAGCTTCTTCTGGGACATTTCAAAGGGCATATATTTTCTACAGCTGGCCCTGTGAAGAGTTTCAATGGCCAGAGGGCGCAAACAAAAGGAACTTATAAAATTTCTAAGTGCAATGCACTTGGAAACATTTTGAAGGAAATTGTTTCGGCTGGGAGAATGCATGTATAGCCTTTGTGACGCACACCCCTCACCCCCATGGCTGGAAGACTTCAACATTCCCACAGCTACATGCAGCCATTGCTCTTGAGCTGAGGGACACTAGAGGGGGCAAATGTCTCAGAAGCATGTAGAGGCAGGGGAGTGGCAGCACTGACTCCCTAGCTCTTCAGTGTTGGGATGCTTGCTAACAGTCCAGCCCCAATCTCATCTACCTTTTCATTTCCCCCTCTTCCTCAGAGAGGAGAGCTAGAGGAGATTGGGCCTAAAGAGCCCAGTGCCAGAGATTCCCCCCCAGTGCAAAAGCAGCTGGGACTAAGGAGTAGGAACTGGCAGGCTCTCTCTCCAACCTAAAGACTGTCCTCCCCATGCTCTTTCTCCTTGGCCCTGTACACACAGAGCAAGAAATGAAATACTACAAAATAGCATCTAAATTTGGTACCATTTTTTTTTCCAGAGCTTGGGCTGCTCCTGGAACACTTCAAAGGGCATGTACACTTGTACAGCTCATCTAAGTGTTTCAAAGGGGTTTGAAACATTTTAACTGCTAGTTCTCACCAGTGTAATTTTGGGTGTGGAGAGACCATGCAGTTAGAATCTGAAGACTCTTCACTACTGGTAATGACACGCAAACCAGAAATAACCCACCTTGACTCTTGTGTCTCAACTGATTTCAGAGCATGACAAACAACATCTTGTTTTGCTTTTTCCTTCTAAATACAGGAAATATAATCTGAAGCCCGTCTACTTGAAACCTGAAACCCTCTGATGCCACTTCTACAGAGTCACTTTTTGTAGTAAGAATACTATTTAGCACATCATTACATTTAGCAGACAAGTGGGCGGGGAGCTGGACTCAATCTTCTGAGGTCCCTTCCAGCCCTTATGTCAATGAAGTGCATGTTAATAGTAATTTACAGTAAAAATACAGCACTTACAGTATCTGCTTCTTTTCCATCAATCATCTCCAGATCTTTCAAAAGCCACTTCTCAACTATATCATATTGATCTTCCAAACCCATTCTGAGGTGTTTCACCATAGATATTTCTACGTCTTTACCTTTAGTCACTGCAAGATTAAAAGAAAATAGTTCATATACATGGAGATATCTGAAAATCGTATATCAAATAAATCTTGATGAAATATAATAATTTGTGACAACTGGAGAGAGAGAGCACTTAATTTGTTTTCCTATAAAATAATATGCAACAACATAAAACATCTTATTAAAAATGATTTCCTATCATTTCAACTTGCTCATGCCTATTTCTGAGCTTTTTCCAGAAGCTGCAATTTTGTTCCTGAGTCATAGGCTGCAAGGCACCTCAGAAGATCGAGTCTGGCCCCTTGCACCAGGCAGGAAAGACTACTGGGGTCAGGTGATTGTCCAGTCTCCTCTTAAAGATCTCCAGGGTAGTGATTGCACCTCCTCTGGAGGGAGCTTATTCTACAATCTGGACACCCTGACTACAAAGTTTTTTTCCTAATGTTGAGCCTGGATCAGTCTTCCAGGATTTTGTGGCCATTACTCCTGGTTTTCCTCTAAGGGTGCTCTGATAAACAATTGTTCATTGAGCCCTGGATGTACTCCCCTAATGCAGCAGTAAGTCGGACAATGAGTCAGACAATGAAAGAGAGAAGGTTGCGGGGGGGGGGGACAACTCTTCAAAATCATTAACATTATTAATGAATTAAGTGTTGGCAAAGAAATCAAAATTGTACAACAAACGCACTAAGTAGTAGGAAAAGCCCTGGAATTGGAACACTATAATATTAGTTGCCAAATATTTTTTTTTTCTTTTAAATCAGGAAAATGGAGATGCTTGTATTGCTTTCTTTTCATTGCCACATCATGCCCACCTTTTTTTGGGAAATGGTAGGCCTTTAATTTAATCCCCTGCCTCTAACATAACCCCTGATTATTCTTCTGTTGGTACTATCTCTTACTGGACCAACTGTAGCCGGGAGTTGTTAGACAAGCTTTTGGACACAAAGTGCCCTCCTTTACCAAAAGTGTTTCCTCACTTCTTCCAGAGTTTTAGACCAAAAGTGACTAAGACATGGCCCATGTGGCCATGTCATCCATCCTGCAAGGCTCCCCATGGGTCTAGAAAGGTGGTAGGACAAACAGCAGCAGCTGTAGAACTGCTGCCAAATTTTCAGACCCTTCGAGAGCCCCATGAGCCAGATGTCATAGCTCTATGTACTGGATTGGACTGATCCAATACCATTCTGCCAGCCTATGGGGCCAGATGAATCGGGCATTGCTGGTTTTGATCGGGGTGTCAAGCATATGGCCCACAGAGCCTCTTTATCCAGCCCTCCACGCAACAGAAGGACGCTGGAGCTGGGCCCTTGGGCCCTGTTGGGTGTGGCCAAGAATGGTGAGCTTGGCTTGCTGCTGCTGCTGGACCCCCCCACCCCTGCAACTCCTGCTGCATCCTGTACTGTTGCCACTTCTGCTCCCACTGGACACTATGCTGCCTGCTGCCCCCCCCCCCCAAGCCCCTACTGCCAGAAGACCCTGCACCTCCCTCACCTCTTCCCCC